GTCAGCAAGGCTGAAAGAGATTTAATAAGAATTAAGGAGAAGAAGAATTACCAGGAGTCTTGTCGGAGGCTAGGACTACGGCGGAGGCGTCGGGTTCTTGGGAGCAAGAACTTAGGAGCAAATAGATGGTTTTGAGTGGTGTAGATTGACTGTGGGAGATTGCCTGCTTAATGAGAGGGCAAGCCTCTGTTTTTATAGTGAACCTAAGGGGTTGGAATCCTAGTAGGACATTGAGTCCTCTTTTGGGAGATAATCCCTATCATAAAAGAGATATGATTTCTTAACCTTATCAGATTAAGTTTAATAGTTTAAATAAGAGTTGGAATCTTAGTAGGACACTAAGTCCTATTTTGGGAGATAATCCCTATCATGAAAGAGATATGATTTCTTGACCTTATCAGATCAAGTTTAATAGTTTGAGTGAGATTTGAAATCTTAGTAGAAGAGGAAATAGAATGAGATTCTGATTTCCTATTTATACTTTGTTGCAGGCTAATGGGCTGAAACCCAGTTTAGCTTAACTTATAGGATAGCCCAACTCATAGAGTGGGTAGGTCGCAAGGTGATTTTAAGCGTGGTCCTAATCGGGATTGGGTTGAGGCCTTGGGCCGTGACATGTTTATTTCGTTATTGGGCCCCGTCAAGCCCAAGATGATTTTTGGCCCTAACAGTAATCCTCCCATTCAACAAGGCATTTTGGGTGAGGAGTTAGACCCACCTCAAATTCTAACATCTAACATTAATTATGATTTTATATTTGGGAAGTTTAATTATTTTAGGATTTTGGTAAAATTAGGACGGTCTATTTTAAGTTAATTTTAGTTTTTTATTTAAGAATTATTCCTTGTTCTAGTAACACTAAGATTAGTTTAGTATAAATAGACTTGTTATCCTACAAACAAACAATAACAATGGCTTATCAATAAAATTTCTTAATAGTTGTTTCATGAATTGTTTTATTGTAGATTTGATATTTTCTTGTGGATTCAAGAAGTCTCCTTATGGATTCGGGAGTTTCATTCTTGGATTCAGGCCGCTACACTAGAGCGTATTTAGTGCCTATCCTATTTGCTGCGTCACAAAGAGAATGGCATTTCTTCATAATCAGTTCTGAAAATGAGAAGCCAATTCCTTGAGCTTGCTTTTCCGTGTACTTTTATGTGAAGCGAGTATTGCAAGTGTTTGCGAAAGACAGGGTTCAGTTTGGTGGCATAACTGCTAGTCTGTACTCAAAAGGACTTTGACTCACACTACATACTCCGTAGACTTTTATCATTCCGCTTGGTGTCTCAAGGTGAAGAACTGAATATTTGAATAACACTATTCTTTTCAATATTTCCAGGTCAAGAAATTTCATAGAATGGTGATCATAATTGCACATAATAATTCTTTTTTTGACTTGAAGTCCACTAGGAATGAAAAAAATTAAGATGCGAGTGAGTGGAGCTTTTATACAAGAGGTATAAATAAGTTTCCGCAATGAATCATAGAAAGTTGCAAAAGTCAATATCTTCCACTGAAAATATAGAAAGTTGCAAAAACACTTTTCCGGGAAATTTCTAGTATTGTGGTTCATTATGATGCTTGGAGAAGTTGAACTCTCCATAGTGAACGTATTCACCCTGGCAAAAACTTTTTACAAGAAACTTCAAATGAAAAACACAAATTAAGCACATATTTCAAACGAAAAATAAATTGGCATCATGATTTAATCGGTGTTTGACGTTGGCTCTTTAAGAAGGACACCTTGAGGATCAAGAATAATCTTTGACTTGAAGGCCTGCAAAGGCAACACGATCTGTCTTGTTTTTAGCCAATTCAAAATTGATAGAAGTTGTAAACTGTATCATCGTTCTGCAAAACAGTAAAACGGATTGAAACTGTATTAATGTATTCATTTCTCAAAGCAAGATGGCTACTGATCTTTGATCTTGCCTTCCAGTGCTTTTTTCATTAGCTAACTTCACCTCCCTGTCACAAATGGTGTGCTACAGTGCCAATTCAGAGTTGACAAAAGTCCTAAAATGATTTGATTTCTGTGACATAACTTTATTAAAGATGCCATAGTGGTGTCTCATGCTGAAGAAATGTGACCTGACATCTAACAAAGTGGGCATTAGCCACCTAATTTATGGCTGTTAAAAGATATTCTAGTGGTGTCTGATGCTGAAGAAAATATGATCGGACATCTAACAAGTAGGCTTTAGCCATCTGAAATATAGTGGTTTATTTACTAGTCTTTAAAATCATTGCAAAAATTTAGACCAATAATTCATTTTATATGTTATCAAGATCAAGAGCTAACAAAGTCTAACACTAAACTCATGGATCAATGCATTATAGCCATCTCACTATTAAATTTGGTTATTTGTATTCAAATTTGCTAGAGTTTTTATCATTGTCAAGACTCACTTATTAATATGACCACTTTTATTAATATGGTAATTTAAGAAAAACTATGAGTATGTTAATTATAAATCTACGTTCTAAATTGAATCAAATAATAGAGCATTAAATTATTTGATTTCAACTATTAACTACTATTTATTGGATAATTAAATACATAAAAGTTGAAAGAAATAGCTGAGAAATTCTACGATTTTTTAATCTCTAGTGGAGTCAATTCTACCTCATTAGTCACTCAAACATCGGTCAATCAATTCTTCCTCATAAGTCACGCAAACGTATCATTTGATTATCATAAACAGGACTAGAGAGCATAATTATTTCTCCTTTTGTCTTTAATTCTATTCGTGACTTTTGTCTTTAATTCTATTTGTGATTTTTCCAGGAGGAGTAGAAAGTTGCATCAATGTTTTCCAAGAAATTTCCAATGAAACATACAAATTTAGCTCATATTCATTGCATACATATAAAAGTACGCTTAGAATGAAAACTACTTGGCAGACCCACAACTTTGAAAATTCCGATTTCCATTTACTGTAGTGTCTTATTCTGAAATGGGCCAGTTTCCTCTCCCCATGGGCTAGCATTAATTCAATCAATTTCTTTCAACACAAATATATAGAGATGGGAATGGGCTGGTATTTCCCGGTACCTGGCCAGCCTAGCCCAAAAATGTCAGGCTTTATCCGATGTTAACGGGCTTGGGCCTGAGACTGAGATTGAGACTAATTTTAAGGCCTGTCCTCGGGTACGAGCCAGACATGGGTATGTCTTCAATCCCAACCTAGCCTGGCCCGATAATTTTACTATTAATTTTATTAAATTACTGTTATACTATATATCTAATTACAGAATTATCATATATATATATAAAATTGAAATTTATTAATATTTGATGAGTATTCAAAAATACATTAATATTTAAAAACTGTTTCTAGAATTAAAAATATAAAAAAATTAAAATTTATTAATATTTAAAAATTCATATTATAAAAATGGGTTGGCTTGAGCCGGGACTAAGATTACAAAAAGCTCGTCGAGCTAGGCTTGGGTTTTACCCGTCATCCCCGTGATAGGCTTGGGCCCGACCCGGCCCATTGCCATCTCTACAAACATATTTGTTAGTTTTTAATATTAGCAAATTGTCTTTTTTTTTTTTTTTTTTATAATCAGAGTATTCGCCAAATATTTCAGATAAGCCACAAATATGATAGGTGGTCGCAAGGTGGTTTGAACCGAAGAATTCAATTAAAGAAACAACCTTCTTGACCACCAGACTAATTCTTTAAGCTAACAAATTATCCTTCTTTACTATTTATTTCTACTAAATCTTTGGTAACCTCATCATCGCCTTTTCTTTTTTTTTTTTTTTTTTTTTTTTTTTTTTTTTTAAATTTTTTTTTTTATTCTTTTTTTTTTTTTTTTTTTTTTTTGTTTGGTAAAACTTAAATTATGCAATCATTTAGTTATTTTTTTTTTTCTCTTTTTTGTTTTGGGTGTTCTCCTGAGTATTAAAAAAAATAGAGTTTAACTTGCAAGTTTTGATGAGGATATTAATAGCATAGCCCTGCTATTAATAAAAAGAATAGGCTAAAAATAATATAAATGAAAGAGCAAAACCTCCATGATCATTATAGCTCATTGTCAAGAAGAGAGGTAGTTTCTTAAATATATTCATTCAATCTTGTGGTGACTCCATTGAACCTGCCACTCCAATCCTCGCAATGGAAATGAGACATTCCCTTATGATGTTGTTTACTGTTTCCTTCAGCCTATGGTTAGAAGCAATCGTCTCCTCATCAACTTTTAGAAGTATCGGATCCATAATGTGCATCACCCGGTTAGACAAGATTAACACTGGCCTCAAACATAACATCTGTGGGTCTTTTCCTCGTTATCATCTACAATAACAGGATTCCAAGACTGTAGACATCCCTATTTGTTGACACCTTATGACTTCTGAGACCATACTCCAATTAACAAGAATAACATTAGAAAATACATGATCTTTTTGACAAGTAATTAATCATTCATATTAAATAGAAAACATTCTAATGTTCAAATGGTGACTGACTAATTACAACTATTTATTGCCTAGTAACTCTATTGCTAAACTGGGCGTTTTGGTTTGAATTGTCTTTGTCATGTTTATTGTAATTTTATTTCACTCCATCCAAATGAAATAAGATCTGAAGAAATGTCGAAATTCTTAAATCAAATATCCAATAAAAAGTATCCAACAAACTTTCATCAAAGGGATTTAACTTTAAAATGAAAATGAAATAAGTATAAGTTGATCAAAAAGCACAATTTATCCTTGTCAGAATCAGAGTCAGACATGCCGCGGAAGATTAAAAAGCACAATTCATCAGAATCAGATAATCAGGCTATAAGCGTAAGATGAAAAAATATCTTCCGACCAAAATATCTAATCTCATCACTTAAACAGTAACATAAACTGTTTAAGCCCATAGTCATCACATGCAACAAATCAATTCTACCAATCACCTAGCTGGAATATATTAGGCCCATTGACGTGAAGATCAATGCTCCACTCAAGCATCATTTTTAATTCCAAAATATAAAAAAAATTCTAAATAACATATTTATTATTAAAAAAGTGTTCTTTTGAACCCACGTAGACAAGGGCTTCAAAATTTTATAAATAGCAGTATCTAGCTATTGACAAATTACCAAACCACCACAAACAGCAGTAGGCTTTCCTTCTTTCTTTACTACTTCTGCAAAATATAAACTAATATTATCAATGGACAAGGTCAAAGAAACCTATAAATTCTTAAAATCTAAACTCAAATACTACTTTCTATGTTACATCACGCATGTATGAAACCTCTCGGCATGACACTTACACTTACAAAGTAGACTCACATGGTGTACAACAAATTATAATTAGGTTAGGAAAAGCACCTACTCAATTGGTTTCCTCTTCCCCCAAGAACTGAGGCCCTCTGAAATTTGGGGCCACCTATCCACCACTTTTTAAAGGCTACCATGGAGTTTTGTGCGGCTATTTACACTACACAGGCAAAAGCATTTTATCATTATTACTAATATGGACAATAGATGTGACATGAAAATGGAAGATATGTGGTTAAATGAGCAAAAATAATCTCACAGTTAGTTTCTTCTTTTGTTAAAGCCATCAAGAATTTGGAAGCCACTGCATAAGCCACAGTGTGTGCCTTGGTAAAGTCCTTATACCACATCCGAAATGTAAACAGGAGCATCGATCTTTCCAATTGTTCGATCACCAATCCTATCCATGAAAACAAGAGCCAAGTAAATAAAAACTCAAGAGTGAATTTCATGTTGGGAAGTTGAAAAATGATTAGTGCAACTGCACAGCTCAGAGCAATAGATAGCAACTAAAACTGCTTATGAATTGCTTAGTGTTAATTAATTACAGGTATACCATCCATCCTACACAACTTTATATGTGTTAACTGTGCCCTTCCTGAATTAGATGTAATGAAAAAGCATCATTATGTTCAGAGACAAAGGAACAAATAAGTATCCCTAACCACATTACTAGGCTGACGCACTTGATACAAGCTACGAACATTTAGGATAATAAAAACATGAACAGGTGATCCTGTTCATTTCTCTTTTCACTCTACTGTTTTCAACATTAACTTTTCGATGAATCCTATCTCTAATATACATATTGATCTTCTGAGACAAGGAACTGACCACATTCTTTATTCCATCCCAAGTCATGAAAATGCAAGTTTAGCTCTATACCTTCAATATGCTTCACAGTTTCAATAAGATGCAGAAACTAGGAAAAACTAGAGACCAGTTCAAATTTTTTATGTAATAAATAACCAGATCAACTTTGTTCTAAAAAAGCAGTGAAACATAACATGGAAAATTTGTAATAACATCAAATCTTTAGCGCATTGCTTTCTTTTCCAAATTGACAAAGTGCCGTAAAATGACATTATGAAAACAACAAATATGAAGAGAGCAATTTACTATATAAGGGACAAGAAGAATGGGAGAGATTCATTATAAGGAAAGCTATCAGAAGGCAAGAAAAACTGTATGCATGTGAAGAAGCCAGTGCATAGCAGAAACTCACATTGGTGCTATCTTACAGCCACATTTGTAGAAATATGGACACCTAGATCTCAGATCCACATTTGCAGCATCAGCCTGGATTTCCCGCCTTGTTCTGGTATTCAATTAAAACAAAGAAGACTAGAAAAGTAAATAAATATTCACATCTTCAGATTCTCATTCACATAAATAAATATGTCATTCTTCATGCATTCATTTGAACGTAGGACAACTTTGCAAGAAATTGTGATCATAGAACTTGGTTAAAACCACCTAATTCCAGAGGGGGTTTGGTCACTCGAAAAAGCAAAAGGGGAGGGAGGGATCAACGAAATACAATAAGAACAACAAACTCTAGAAGACTTTGACAAAATAATTTGACCTAGTTGGACTGGTGAACAAAAGTAACCCACATATTAGAATACAAAATCTGATTGCTTTTTAATGACCAAGGGCCCCTTCTACACCATTCACACATAAAGCAAAATCATGTTGAAAATTCTTCTTGCAAGTCAGTTTTTAATGAATTTCTTAGTGTTATTACTATCTTTAGTTAGAAATAAGAATAACAGTAGAAACGAATTACTTTTGGTTGAAACAAGCCGGAACATTTATTGATACAGCCTTCGCACCTCCTTCAACCTGAGAACAACCACCAAAAACATAATATATTATGATACAGTCATTGAACATCAATTTCCACCAAACTCCAGTAAACTTGCACAGTCTTCAGCACTGGGATCAACTTTTACTCCATTAGCTGACTTATGGAACACAACAAGGACGAGCTGAAATCTAGCAAAAGAAAAAAAGGAAAATCATTAAGCAATTTCAAAGTTGAATTAAAGACAACTGCGAGTATGAAGACCAAGATAATAATCTCTTCTTATACAAGAATATCATCAATGTCATAATAATTTATGAGATATTATGAGACATTAAGCAGTTTCTCTTGATTTTTCCTTCACAATTTATGAGATATTTAACAGCTGGGGAACAATACATAAAAAATTAATTACAATAATTGTGAATATAAATGAATTTCAGTGTAGAGAATGCAGGGGATCTGAACCATTTATGTGATTCCGTCAAAATGAACGAATCAGATTTCCCAGTTGTAAGAATATAAACACATTGACTAAAACATCCAAACCAAGATTAAAAAAAGAAAATGGTCTAGATCTAAGCTCTAAGCGAGAATTAGATCCAATTCCAACCTGGAACTCACTATTCCTCAGCAACAAGAAGAAATGTAAACTAAAATAAATTCTGAAAGATCTGAAACCCTAGAGTAAGCAAAATTTATAGCTAGAACAGATACATATAGAAAATGAAATTCAGAAAAGTAAAAAGTTGACGACGAATTATAAGAAATTAAAATTACCTCAAATGTTCTCACAGAGCTTGCTTGTGTTTGTTTGGCTCTCATTCTCTCAAGTCTCAAGTGAATGGCGAGGGAAAATTTCAGATAAAATACAAAAAATCTTAATTTAGGGCCTTTTGTATAAATAAAAAAGAACAAGGGGTTCAATAAAATTACTCACCGATATATATGCCAGTAGAAATCAATTCTCTTCGCTTCCGCCTTCTTTCTTTTCTCGTCCTCTCATCTCTCTCTAATTCTCTCCTCTCAAGTCTCAGATGTTTCAATGGAGTTCTAATCTAACAAGCAACTTAAGAATTTTGTGATGTCTCCCGCACAATACGAAGTTTTTGACGTAAATTCTTCATCTTTTCGCAAAGTTATGAAGATTAAGCCCTCCCTTATACATAATTTCTCTGGCCTTTTCCTCGTTATCATCTCCAATAACAGGATTCAAAAACTATAGACATCCCTGTTTGTTGACACCTCTAGACTTCCGAGACCATACTCCAATTTACAAGAATAACATTAGAAAATACATGATCTTTTTGACAAGTAATTGAGTATTCAAATTAGATAGAAAACATTCTAACATTCAAATAGTGACTGACAGATTGAAACTGTTTATTGCCTAATGACCTTTCTAATAAACTGTGCGTTTTGGTGGGAATTGTCTTTGTCCTGTTTATTGTAATTTTTAAGTCACTCCATCCAAATGAAATAAAATATGTCGAAATCTTGAAACTCTTAAATCAAACATTCAAACTCAATAAAAGTGTCTAGCAAACTTCCATCAAAGGGATTTAACTTCAAAATGAAAATAAAATACAAATAAGTTGATAAAATGTGGGTGGCCTGGCAGATAATCACAGAAACTGCGTTCACATTTCACCTCGCTCAAGCTGATTGACCTCCTTGCCTGATGAGAACAGTTCTAGGCTGGAGAAGGATGTTCTTGACCGCTTGTAATTCATGAACAACATTGGTTATGTTCATTCGATCTTGTGGTATCTCCATTGAACATGCCACTCCGACCCTTACCATTGAGATGAGGCATTCCTTTCTTTTAATGTTTCTTTCTTGTGCCAGTATACGATTAGTAGCAGTAACCTCTTCAACCTCATTTAGAAGTACTGGATCGACAATGTCCATCACCCGGTCAGGCAAGGCCATTTTGGCAAAATTGTGAAGATTGAAGCCTCCCTCAAACATAAGGTCTGTGGGCCTTTTCCTTGTTACCATCTCTAACAACAAGATCCCATAACTGTAGACATCCCCATTTGTCGACACCTCACTTCCAAGACCATACTCTGCAATTCACAATAATATTATATTAGGAAGTATATGATCTTTGACAAGTATTTAATTTTTCAAATTATCCAATCTTGTCGTTACCTGGGGCTGCATAGCCTATTGTTCCTCTTACACCAACAGAGCTGCTTTGGTTTGGATTTGAGACTTCTGGGAGAAACTTTGCTAGACCGAAATCCCCAACATGAGATGTCATGTCGTCATCTAGAAGAACATTGCTAGGCTTCAAATCGCAGTGGAGGATTGGCTCATGGCAACAATAATGGAGATAATCTATTGCAGATGCCACATCAATTGCAATGTTTATTCTCTGAAGAAGGGTAAGATTCTGAATTTCAGGTTGCTCTTCTTCTGTTTCTGGACTTGGGTGTAACCACTTGTCAAGACTTCCATTTGGCATGTACTCGTAAACAATAGCTTTAAAGTCATTGCCCTGAAAATCAATACTTGAGCAAGAAGTTATGACTTTTACAAGATTCCTATGACGAATATTTCTCAACGCTTTACACTCTGCCATGAAACTCTTGGATGCTCCTCGACATTGAAGATTTAGTACTTTGATTGCAGCAATAGTTCCATCTTCATCAAGGATACCCTTAAACACAGAGCCGAAACTTCCCGCACCAATTAAGTTTGTTGAAGAAAACCCATCGGTCGCTTTGAGTAGCCTTTCATACGATACATTCAGAAGTTCTTTTATCAACTTGGATCCAGATTTAGAAGGTTGTTTCCCTCTTCTCTTTCTGAGCCAACAAAAAATGAATAATGACATCATGGTTAGTCCTGAAAGGACACTTGCAATTGATATCAATAGTTTGGTTCGTGGGGAGATCCTCTCTTTCTTTGCGTTCTTGCTAGTGCATTTGAGCAAATGTAGTTCAGCTATTCCTCCACAAAGTCTACCGTTATTTCCAACAAGTGATATTGCACTTGCATTTGCAAAAACACCTTTCAATGGCACTTCGCCCTCAAAATTATTGAAGGATAGGTTTAGATTCTCCAAAGCGAGAATCTCTAAGAACTTTGGAATTTTGCCAGACAAATTATTGTGAGAAAGATCAATGATTCGAATACCTCTCAGAGAACTCAATGATATTGGTATAAATCCTTGGAAAGCATTGCCATCCATTACAAGATATTCTAGACTAGAACAGAGACTAAATTGACTCGGAATTTCACCTGACAAATTATTATCGGACACAGCAAAACTGGAAAGAAGTTTTAGGCTACCAATGTTTGGAGGTATGTGTCCAATCAATTGGTTTTGTGAGAGATTTAGTGAAATTGACAGATACGTTATTTCAAAAACTTGTTTGGGTATGGTTCCACTAAGTTCATTTTGGGACAGATCCAAATCTTTCAATTGTTTCAAATTTCCTAGACTACTAGGTATGACTCCTGATAATTTGTTATCTGACAACCATAACTCATTGATTTTTGACAAGTTCCCCAAAGAAGGAGGAATTTCGCCGGAGAGTTTGTTGCTAAACAGATCTAAATTTTCAAGGTTTTGGAGCTTACCTAATTCTTCGGGAATTGTGCCTGAAAAATTGTTACCACTCATACCCAACCAATTTAAGTTAAGAAGGCCGCCTATCCCTGATGGGATTGTTCCATACAAATTATTCTCACTAACAAATAAATGTTGCAGTTTAGTACTAGAAAGGTTACCTATTGAATTGGGCAAGGGTCCTCTGAATTGGTTTCCATATATGGAGAACTTCCACAAATTGCTGCAGTTGGCCAAAGAGTCGATAAAACTCATCTCATCACCTTCCCCACTTCCTAAATTATTGATGGCCAAATTTAGGAATTTAAGGCATTGCATGCCTCCAAAATCAACACGCAATTTTCTTGAAAATTCATTAAAACCCATCTGAATATTTTGGAGTTTCGAAGCATTGGATAAAGATACTGGAATAGATCCACCAAAAAAGTTGTCTGTGATTTGAAAATATTGGAGACGAGGAAGAGTAAGGCCTAAATGTGGTGGAAGACTTCCCTCAAGTTGATTCAAAGGCAAAGAAAAAATAGCAAGGAAGGAGAGATTGTACATAGAAGGAGGGACAACACCAGATAGGTTGTTTCCACCAATTCCAAGAGCTATTAAATTTTTGAGCTGACCCAATGAATGTGGAATATTTCCTCCAAAATGATTGAAACCCATAGATAGCACTTCCAGGGAGGTAAGATTCCCAAGAAATGGTGGGATGCCTCCTATCAAATTGTTATAGTGCAGATATATCTTTTTGAGGTTGAACAAGGAGACAAACTGCGGTGGAATTTTCCCAACTAGCTTGTTAAATCCTAAAAATAAGAATGTCAGCCTGGAACAATGGGACAAGTTGGCTGGAATTTCTCCCACCATAGAGTTATTTAGAATCTGTAAATCTTCTAACCTGAACAGACGGCCAACTTCAGGAGGGATTTCACCTTGGATACTATTGTTTGAGAGATCGAACTTCTGTAGGAAGCTGAGGTTGCCAATGTGTGGTGACAAGGATCCAAACAAACCTCTAGAACGTAGGCTTAGGATGGTGACTCTTCTATGCCTATGACCACAGGTAATCCCCTCCCACTCGCAGAAGTGGCGAGAATCATTCCACGAGTTTAGAACCCCTTGAGGATCATGAATAATCTTTGACTTGAAGGCCTGCAAAGAAACACGATCTGTCTCCTGTTGAGCCAATTTGGAACTGACAAAATTGGTAACTTGCATAAGCGTGATGCAAAAAACTAAAACAGAGCGAAAGCAAAGTGAGTGACTTATCATTGTGTTCATTTCTAAGAGTAAGATGTGAGCTTTCTTCGCCTTGTCGCATTATATATGGTGAGTTTGTGAAACTCTAATGCCTATTCAGTGGCATTAATTATTACAAATCTGGACTTAAAACAGGGAATTGACTAGTGTTACATAACTTTACTAAAGATTTCCTTGCCGTGCATATAATGGTGAAGAAATTTGGTGTATCGGTCTATTTAAGTACAATTTTTTCACCAAATGACAATGTCTTTTTCAGATTTGTTTTCCTTCTTTGACAATTTTGAATGAGTTTTATGCCCTGTGTGATAGTTGTTGGAACCGAATTTGACGTATCCAACACAAAAAGCTGGATATGTGAGCTACGCTTCAATGTGATAATGTTATATGTTTGCGCACATTATATAATGGTGAAGAAATTTGACTATTTATTTATAATTTTTTCTTACAACAATCTCATGAAATATGATTTTTACTCTTAATATACCCTAAAAAAGTATCAAAATCAGTTGAATTTTTGTTAACCTTTATTTATTTATTTTTTAAAAGAGATGTGTGGGCCTCCTGCATTTGGTGTGCTACACACCAGAAATTAGCCAAGGCAAATTTTTTCTTCCCTCAAGTTAAAGTGGAGTCAAGTCTCTTACCGTGTTAGTTAAGGTAGAAAATGTGTCCAGAACTGTGACTTTCATGTAAAAAAATGGTGAACGTGATCCACATTTATTCTCTTTTTCATTTATTTTCAAAAGGTGTAAATTATCTTCCACCATGAACCAAAGAAAGTTGCAACAACTTTTTCCAAGAAATTTCCAAAGAAAATGAATTAAAAATTAAGAGCACATGGGATGTAGAGATCAACCTTTCAAGTGGAAATAGGGTCCTCGTTTTATGTGGCTGCATGACTCGTGTTTAGTAATCTCATTGCTAAATCGGCAATTATTATTATTATTTGGAGCAAACTTTAGAAAGTGCAGTTTATATTTTGACAAGATTCTTGAATGAAGTTCTGTTTATTGTAATTTTACAATAACGTCTATAAAGTAAGATAAGTTCAAAAGAAGAATAAAAAAAATTTACTAGAAGCGGTGAAACTTTAAAATCATATAAGGAAAGCCTATCATTGTATTCATTTTTTAGAAGGAGACGCTAGCTTGCTTCACCTAGCTTTGTCGCTTTATATATGGTGAGTTTGTGAAACTTTACTGCCTATTTAGTGGTATTGATTATAACAAATTTGGACTTTAAACAAGGAGTTGACTCGTGTTACATAACTTTAATAAAGATTTCTTTGTCGGTGAAGAAATTTGGTGTATTGGGCTATTTCGTTATAATTTTGTCACAAAAGGCCTGATATTAAATAATCAAGAATCCAAAAAGCCCGCTTTATTAACCTTTGCATATTTTCACAACAAATTCTAGCTGTGTTTTGATTTAAGTTTTTTAAACTTGGAGCTTGTAAGTTGTAACAAGTGAATTAACAATGATACATAACAATGTGTTTTTCAGATTTTTTTTCCCTTAATCTCATGAAATATGATTTTTACTATACCTTAAGAACATCAAAATCAGTTGAATTTTTGTTAGCCTACACTTATTTATTTATTTTTTATAAGAGATGTGTAAATTTTTCTTCTTGTTTTTGATCTGAGAATAGCTTATTAAATTTTTATTTATTTCATCAACTTAAGGCTACCAGTTCTCTGTCATGTTATGGCTTCATTTCAAACTTTTTTTTTTTTTTTTTTTTTTTTACCGGTTCTCTGCTCTTTCACCCTGCTTTCGCTTCAAGATTATATTTTCTTAATAGCCCTGCAATTCGTGAAAAGGATTAAGAGCGTAAAACTAATTTAAAGAATATTGCTAAATTAAAGGACAATTTACGTAATTATCAGCAAGTGAAGTTATTTAAATCTTTGGAATCTTACCTCCTTGCCTTAGGTTCCAGAAGGATGTTCCTGGCTGATAGCAAGTCATGGACAACATCCGTTATGTTCATCCAGTCTTGTGGTGACTCCATCGAACATGCCACTCCAATCCTTACCATAAAATTAAGACATTCTTTTCTGCTGTTGATATTTGTTTCTCTCTTGCTACGGTTTGTAGAAAGACAACTCTTTATCATCTTTTAGAAAAATTGGATCCACAATGCCCATCAAACGGTCAAGCAAAAGTTATGAACATTAACGCCTCCCTCAAACATAAGGTCTGTAGGTTTTTTCCATGTTACCATCTTTAACAACAGGATCCCAAAACTGGAGACATTCCCATTTGTTGACACCTTACTTCCAAGACCATACCCTGAAACCCAACAAGAATAACAATAGAAAGTATATAATCTTTTGAAAAGTAAATTACCTGTTCAAATTTTGTAGTAGGCATGAGTTAATATTAATGTAACAGAAGATCAAAAGTCTTGCGGTCCCTGCGGCTGCACAACCAATTGTTCCTCTTACTCCAGAAGAGCTGCTGTGATTTGGATTTGACACTTCTTGAAGAAACCTTGCTAGCCCGAAATCCCCAACATGAGCGGTCATGTTGTTGTCTAGAAGAATATTGCTTGGCTCTAAGTAGCAATGGATGACTGGCTCTTGGCAGTGGTGATGGAGATAATTTAGTGCAGATGCCGCATCAAGTGCCATGTTTATTCTTTGCAGAAGGGTAAGATTTTGAATTTCATGTTGCTTTTCTTCTTTATTTGGAGCTGGGTGCAACCATTCTTGAAGACTCCCATTTGGCATGTGTTCATAAACTATAGCTCTGAAGTCATTTTGGTAATCATTACTTGAACAAGAAGTTATGACTCTAACAAGATTTCTGTGACAGATATTTCTCAATGCTATACTCTCGGCCATGAAGCTGATTGCTCTTTGATGACCAAAGGCCACTTCCTGCCAAAAAGTTTCTCCACCCATTCTACATCATTCACACATAAAGCAAAAAACAAATTCTGCTTGCAAGTCGGTTTTTAATGAATTCCTTAGTATTACTACCTTTACACAGAAACAAGAATAACACCAGAAACTACTATGGCAATTGCAAGAATATAAACACATTGAGTGAAACATCCAACCCAAGATCTAAGCTCTAAGTGAGAATTAGATCCAATTCCAACCTGGAACTCCCTATTCCTAAGCAGCAAGAAGAAATGTAAACTAAAAAAAATCAGAACCATCGTCCCAAGAGTTTTTAGACAATATTAATTTAATTTAATGTTATGTAGATTGTATATGAAAGGAGGGATTGAACCTGAGAGATTGTTAGTGCCAAGTCACAGAAATGTTAACCTCGTCAATTGATCCATTGAATCTGGAATAGTTCCTCTTAAAGCATTGTGAGCTAAAGATAAAGTTTACAGGGAGCTAAGATTCGCGAGAAAAAGTGGGACCCCTCCTGTTAAATTGTTTCCACGTAGGCTTATACTTTTCAGGTTCAACAAGGAGACATATTTAGGAGGAATTTTCCTACTAGCTTGTTAAATCCTAAATGTAAGATTTCCCGGCTGGAGAAATGGGACAAGTTAGCCGGAATTTCCCCACCAGGGAGTTAGAAGAAAGATTTAAAAATTCCAACCTGAACAGACGGCCAAATCCTGGAGGGATTTCACCTTGGATACTGTTGTCTGACTTTTATATGAAGTGTGCTCTTCCTGACTTAGATGTAACCAAGAAGCATTATTTATGTTAGAGATAAGGAACAAAGAAGTATCCATCACCACAGTACAAGGCTCACACACGTGATATAAGCTTCCCAACATTTAGGATAATACATGAAGAGGTGATCCTCTTCATTTCTCTTTTCATTCGAATGTTTTCAATATTAACTTTCCAACGAAACTTATCTCTAACATAGAGAGATATTCTGAGACAAGGAACTGATCACATCCTTCATTCCATCCCTAAACAAGAAAATGCAGGTTTAGCTCTAAACTTTCAATTTGCTTCTCAGTTTGAATAAGATGCAGAATCTAGGAAAACACTTGAGGTTACATCAAATAGATCAACTTTCTTGTGAAAAAGCAGTGAAACATAACAATGAAAATTTGTAATAACATCAAATTATCAGGGCATTGCTTTCTCTTCCAAATTGACAACGTGCCACATAATGACATTATGAAAACAACAAATATAATGATAGCAATTTACTATTTAAGGGACAAGAAGCATAAACTTACAGAAGGCACAGAAAGACTTATTATCTGCATTGAAATATGCATGCATAGAAATTTTTTAGAAGCATAAACTCACAATGGTGCTATCTTACAGCCAAATTCGGAGAAATATGGACACCGAGATCTCAGATCCACATTTGCAGCATCAGCTTGGATTTCCCTCCTTGTTTTGGTATTCAAATGAAACAAAGAAGAATAGACTAGTAAATAAATATTTACATCTTCAGATTCACATTCACCACATAAATAAATACGTCATTCTTCATGGATTCATTTGAACATAGGACAACTTTGCAAGAAATCACGACCATAGAACTTGGTTAAAACCACCTAATTCCTGAGGAGGTTTGGCCACTAAGGGTTAGGAGGGATCAAAGAAATACAATAAGAACAACATCAAATTTTTGAAGACTGACAAAATAATATGACCTAGCTGGACTGGTAAATGCAGGTAAGCAAGACCAAGAAATATCATACGCGGAAAAATCGTGTATCAGAACATAATATAACACAAAAGCTGGTTGCTCTTTGATGACCATAGGCCACTTCCTACCAAAAAGTTTATTCACCCATTCTACATCATTCACACATAAAGCAANTGACAAAATAATATGACCTAGCTGGACTGGTAAATGCAAATAACCCACATATGAAAGCAAGACCAAGAAATATTATACGCGGAAAAATCGTGTATCAGAACATAATATAACACAAAAGCTGGTTGCTCGTTGATGACCATAGGCCACTACCAAAAAGTTTCTCCACCCATTCTACATCATTCACACATAAAAAAAAAAAAAAAAACAATTCTTCTTTCAAGTCAGTTTTTAATGAATTCCTTAGTATTACTACCTTTACACAGAAACAAGAATAACACTAGAAACTACTATGGCAGTTAATTTTGGTTGAAACAAGCCGGAACATTTATTGATACAGCTTGCCTCAAATATAACTCCTGAGCAAGCCAGAATGGTAGCTCCACCTTGGCACCTTCTTCAACTTGAGAATAACCACCAAAAACAAAATATATTATAAGAGTCATTGAACATCAATTTTCACCAGACTCCAGTTAACTTACAGGGTCTTTTTTAGCACTGGGATCAACTTTCACTCCATTAGCTGATTTATGGAATAAAACAGGGACGAGCTGAAATCAAGCAAAAGGAAAAAAGAGAAATCATTAGCAATTTCAAAGTTGAATTAAAGACTATTGATGTTATGAAGACATGGGATCTGAACCGTACATGTATTTCCATCAAAATAAACGAATCAGATTTTGCAATTGCAAAATATAAACACATTGAGTGAAACATCCAACCCAAGATCTAAGCTCTAAGCGAGAATTAGATCCAATTCCTACCAGGAACTCACTATTTCGAAGCAACAACAAGAAATGCAAACTAAAATAAATTCTAAAAGATATGAAACCCTAGAGTGAGCAAAAATTATAGCTAGAACAGATAGGTACAGAAAATGAAATTCAGAAAAGTAAAAAGTTGACGATGAAACTTTAAGAAATCAAAATTACCTCAAATGTTCTCACAGAGATTGCTTGTGTTTGTTTGGCTCTCATTCTCTCAAGTCTCAAGTGAATGGCGAGGGCAATTTCAGATAAAATACAAAAAATCTTAATTTAGGGGCTTTTGTATAAATAAAAAAGAACAGGGGGTTTCATAAAATTGCTCACCGATACATATACCAGTAGAAATCAGTTCTCTTCGCTTCCGCCTTCTTTCTTTTCTCGTCCTCTCATCTCTCTCTAATTCTCTCCTCTCAAGTCTCAGATGTTTCAATGGAGTTCTAATCTAACAAGCAACTTAAGAATTTTGTGATGTCTCCCGCACAATACGAAGTTTTTGGCGTAAATTCTTCATCTTTTCGCAAAGTTATGAAGATTAAGGCCTCCCTTAAACATAATTTCTCCAATAACAGGATTCAAAAACTGTAGACAACCCTGTTTGTTGACACCTCTAGACTTCCGAGACCATACTCCAATTTGCAAGAAAATACATGATCTTTTTGACAAGTTATTGAGTATTCAAATTAGATAGAAAACATTCTAACGTTCAAATGGTGACTGACAGATTGAAACTGTTTATTGCCTAATGACCTTTCTGCTAAACTTGGCGTTTTGGTGGGAATTGTCTTTGTCCTGTTTATTGTAATTTTTAGGTCACTCCATCCAAATGAAATAAGATATGTAGAAATCTTGAAATTCTTAAATCAAACATTCAAACTCAGTAAAAGTATCCAACAAACTTCCATCAAAGGGATTTAACTTTAAAATGAAAATAAAATACAAATAGGTTGATAAAATGTGGGTGGCCTGGCAGATAATCACAGAAACTGCGTTGACTTTTCACCTCGCTCAAACTGATTGACCTCCTTGCCTGATGAGAACAGTTCTAGGTCGGAGAAGGATGTTCTTGACCTCTTGTAATTCATGAACAACATTAGTTATGTTCATTCGATCTTGTGGTATCTCCATTGAACATGCCACTCCGACCCTCACCATTGAGATGAGGCATTCCTTTCTTTTAATGTTTCTTTCTTGTACCAGTATACGATTAGTAGCAATAACCTCTTCAACCTCATTTAGAAGTACTGGATCGACAATGTCCATCACCCGGTCAGGCAAGGCCATTTTAGCAAAATTGTGAAGATTGAGGCCTCCCTCAAACATAAGGTCTGTGGGCCTTTTCCTTGTTACCATCTCTAACAACAAGATCCCATAACTGTAGACATCCCCATCTGTCGACACCTCACTTCCAAGACCATACTCTGCAATTCACAATAATATTATATTAGGAAGTATATAATCTTGAAAATAATTATGTTCAAATTATCCAATCTTGTGGTTACCTGGGGCTGCATAGCCTATGTTCCTCTTACGCCAACAGAGCTGCTTTGGTTTGGATGAGACTTCTGGGAGAAACTTGCTAGACCGAAATCCCCAACATGAGCTGTCATGTCGTCATCTAGAAGAACATGCTAGGCTTCAAATCGCAATGGAGGATTGGCTCATGGCAACGATAATGGAGATAATCTATTGCAGATGCCACATCAATTGCAATGTTTATTCTCTGAAAGGGTAAGATTATGAATTTCAGGTTGCTCTCTTTTTGTTTCTGGACCTGGGTGTAAACACTTGTCAAGACTTCCATTTGGCATGTACTCGTAAACAATAGCTTTAAAGTCATTGCCCTGAAAATCAATACTTGAGCAAGAAGTTATGACTTTTACAAGATTCCTATGACGGATATTTCTCACGCTTTACACTCTGCCATGAAACTCTTGGAAGCTCCTCGACGTGAGATTTAGTACTTTGATTGCAACAATCGTTCCCTCTTCATCAAGGATACCCTAAACACAGAGCCGAAACTTCCTGCACCAATCAAGTGTTGAAGAAACCCATCGGTCGCTTTGAGTAGCCTATCATATGATACATTCAAAGTGCTTTTATCAACCTGGATCCAGAATCGGAAGGTTGTTTTTCCTCTTCTTGTCTGAGCCAACAAAAAATGAATAATGACATCACAATTAGTCCTGAAAGGCCACTTGCAATTGAGATCAATATTTGTGTTCGCGAGAGATCCTCTCTTTCTTTGCATTCTTGCTAGTGATTTGAGCAAATGTAGTTCAGTTATTCCTCCACAAAGTCTACCACTATTTCCGATAAGTGATATTGCGCTTGCATTTGCAAAAACTCCTTTCGAGGCACTTCACCCTCAAAATTATTGAAGGACAGGTTTAGATTCTCCAAAGGGAGAGTCTCTAAGAATTTTGGAATTTACCAGACAAATTGTTGAGAGAAAGATCAATGATTCGAATACCTCTTAGAGAACTTAATGATGCAGGTATAAATCCTTGGAAAGCATTGCCTACATTACAAGATATTCTAGACTAGAACAAAGACTAAGTGACTAGGAATTTCACCTGACAAATTATTATCAGACACATCAAAATGGATAGAGTTTAAGGTTACGATGTTTGGAGGTATGGATCCAATCAATTGGTTTTGGGATAGATCTAGTGAAATTGATAGATATGTTATTTCAAAAATTGTTTGGGTATGGTTCCACTAAGGTCATTTCGGGAAAAAAGCAAAATTTTCAATTGTTTCAAATTCCTAGACTACTAGGATGACTCCTGATAATTTGTTATCTAACAACGACAACTTACTTGATTGGGCAGGTGCCCCAAAGAAGAAGGAATTTCGCCGAAGAGTTTGTTGCTAGACAGATCTAAATATTGAAGGTTTTGGAGCTTACCTAATTCTTCGGGAATTGTGCCTGAAAATTTGTTATTAAACATACTCAACCAATTTAAGTTAAGAAGACAGCCTATCCCTGACGGGATTGTTCCATACAAATTATTCCGACCAACAAATAGACGTTCTAGTTTAGTACTAGAAAGGTTAGCTATTGAATGGGGCAAGGGTCCTCTGAATTGGTTTGCACCTATGGCGACCACCCTCAAATTGCTGCAGTTCGCCAAAGAATTGATAAAACTCATCTCATCAGCTTCCCCACTTCCTAAATTATTAGCCTCCACAGAAAATGTTTCAAGATTTTGGATGCCTCCAAAATCAACACTAAATTTTCCTGAAAATTCATTAAAATCTATCAGAAGACGTTGGAGTTTTGAAGCGTTGGATAAAGATACTGGAATAGATCCACCAAATGAGTTAACTGATATTTGAAAAAATTGGAGACGAGGAAGAGTAAGGCCTACGTTTGGTGGAAGACTTCCCTCAAGTTGATTCTGAGACAAAGAAAAATTAACAAGGAAGGAGAGATTGTATATAGAAGGAGGGACTACACCAAATAGGTTGTTTCCAGCAAGTCCAAGAGATGTTAAATTTTTCAGTTGACCCAATGCATCTGGAATTTTTCCTCCAAAAGGATTATATGCCATAGATAGCCATTCCAAGGAGGTAAGATTCCCAAGAAATGGTGGGATGCCTCCTGTCAAACTGTTATAGTGCAGATGTATGAATTTGAGGTAGAACAAGGAGACAAACTCCGGTGGAATTTTCCCAACTAGCTTGTTATATCCTAAAAATAAGAATTTGAGCCTGGAACAATGGGACAAGTTGGCTGGAATTTCTCCCAGCAAGGAGTTATTTTGAAGTTGTAAATCTTCTAACCTGAACAAACGGCCAACTTCAGGAGGGATTTCACCTTGGATACTATTGTTTGCGAGTTCGAATTTTCGTAGGAAGCTGAGGTTGCCAATGTATGGTGACAAGGAGCCGAAGAAACCTCTAGAACGTAGGCTTAGGACGGTGACTCTTTTATGCCTGCGACCACACGTAATCCCCGACCACTCGCAGAAGTGGCGAGAATCATTCCATGAGTTTAGAACCCCTTGAGGATCATGAATAATCTTTGACTTGAAGGCCTGCAAAGAAACACGATCTATCTCCTGTTGAGCCAATTTGGAACTGACAAAGTGGTAACTTGCATAAGCGTGATGCAAAAAAGTAAAACAGAGAGACAGCAAAGTGAGTGACTTATCATTCTGTTCATTTCCAAGAGTGAGATATGAGCTTACTTCACCTAGCTTTGTCCCTTTATACATGGTGAAGTGGACTCAAGTCCCAATTTGAAGTGGACTCAAGTCCCTTACCGTCTTAGTTAAGGTTAAAAAAAGGTATCCACTATCCAGGACTAAGTGGAGTCAAGTCTCTTAACAGTCTTTGCAAGTTGCAACAACTTTTTCCAAGAAACTTCCCATTGAACATAAATTAAAAATTAAGAACACGTGGCATGCACAGCATTAGCATCTTATGTGGCTGCATTAAAAATTAAACAATCATTCCAAGTTTTATTAAAATCGTCAAATTTTAAAACCATCCTCCTAAGAGTTTTTAGACAATATTAATTAATTTAATGATATGTAGATTTATCGACTTTTACAAATCATAATAATTCTATATTTAATTCCTCATAAGACTTTCAAAATTTTTTATATAACTGAATTTTACCCTTTCTTTTAAATTTAAAGCAATCTTGTGGGTGGATTTCACTCTCAAACTTCATTTTCTCACCTCTCCATCGTCTCGCATTTGACAATAAAACTCCCTCATCTACCTTATTAGTCACGCAAACATCGATCAGTCAATTTTTTCTTGTAAGTCACTCAAACGTATCATTTGATTATCATGAACAAAACTAAGAAACATAATTATTTCTCCTTTTATCTTTAATTATGTGTATGATTTTTCCACAAGGAGTAAAAAGTTGCATTAATGTTTTCCAAGAAATTTCTAATGAAACATACAAATTTAGTTCATATTCATTGCGTACATATAAAAGTAACGTGGAATAAAAACTACTTGGCAGACCCACAACATTGAAAATTCCAATTTCCATAAAGTGTCCCTTTTTGAAATGGGCCAGTTTTCCTCTCCCCATGGGCCAGCATTAATTCAGTCAATTTCTTTCATCACAAATATATTTGTTTGTTTTTAATATTAGCAAATTGTCCTTTTTTTTTTTTTTTTAAAATAATCGGAGTGTCCAGTCTAATTTACCCTTTATAATCCCAAAACGGAAGTTGTAAACTGTATCACCTTGATGCAAAACAGTAAAACGGATTGAAATTGTATTAATGTATTCATTTCTCAAAGCAAGATGGCTACTGATCTTTGATCTTGCCTTCCAATGCTTTTTTTATTAGCTAACTTCACCTTTCTGTTTTAAATGGTGTGTCTACCACTAAACTCATGGATTAATGAATTATAGCCATATCACTATTAAATTTGGTTATTTGTATTCAAATTTGCTAGAGTTTTATCATTTGTGTCAAGATTGACTTATTAATATGACCACTTTTATCAATATCTTGGTTGGTAATTTAAAGAAAACTATGAGTATGTTAATTATAAATTTATGTTCTACATTGAATCAAATGATAGAGAGCATTAAAATTATTTGAATTTAACTATTACCTACAATTTATTGGATAATTAAATACATAAATGTTAAAAGAAATAGCTGAGAAATTTTACACCCTTAATGCTATTGAAATAGTTGAGAAATTTTACGATTTTCGAATCTCTAGTGGAGTCAATTCTACCTTATTAGTCACGCAAACATCGATCAATCAATTCTTCCCTGTAAGTCACGCAAACGTATCATTTGATTATCATGAACAAGACTAAGGAGCATAATTATTTCTCCTTTGTCATAAATTCTGTTTGTGATTTTTCCACAAGGAGTAGAAAGTTGCATTAATGTTTTCCAAGAAATTTCCAATGAAACCTACAAATTTAGTTCATATTCATTGCATACATATAAAAGTACACCTGGAATGAAAACAAGTTGGCAGACCCACAGCTTTGAAAATTCCAATTTCCATGAAGTGTCTTATTCTGAAATGAGCCAGTTTTCCTCTTCTCTTCAGTCAATTTCTTTCAACACAAATATATTTGTTTTTTTTTTTACAATTTCAAATCTTTCAAATAAGCCACAAATATGGTTGGTGGCCTAAGGTGGATTGAACCTAAAAAAATCATTTAAGAAAACAACTTTTTTGACCACCAAACTATTCCTTTAAGGTTACAAATTGTTCTTTTTTACTTTTTATTTCTACAAAATCTTTGGTAACCTCGTCTGTCACATTTTTTTTTTTTTTTTTTTTTTTTTTGGGCCTTGGATTAATTTAAGTATCCATTTTATTTTATTTTTTTGGTAAAACTTAAATTATGCAATCATTTAGTTATTTGTTTCCTCTTTTTTGTTTTGGGTGTTCTCCTGAGTATTAAAAAAATAGAGAGTTTAACTTGCAAGTCTAATCAAGAGTTAAATTGAATCTCTTGAAGCAACCCTAAAACATGAACTGTTAATGGAATACCCATTGTGATTTTATTTTATTGTTTGATTCCATCTTTCATTTCAGGGTTTAAGAAAGAAAGAAATTTTTAATATAGAGGTATACTAAAAGAATAAATGCCCTTATGGTAATCAACAATTTAAAGAATATATATATTTAAAAAAATTATTGTTGGGACTTAGAAAGAAAATTGGTAAGGCTTAAATAACACTACTCATGTAATAACTAAACTTTTATCCACGGCAAAAAGTTAAAAATATGATAAGCATATATAGAAGCACAATTCCATAAAATATCCACTTTAATGGAGAAACATATTACATTTAACAAGGATCAATTATTGTATTCTCAGCTTTTAGTTCAATCAAAGTGCAGTTTTGATGAGGATATTAATAGCATAACCCAGCTATTAATAAAAGGAATAGGCTAAAAATAATATAAATGAAAGAGCAGAACCTCTCAATCTTGTGGTGACTCCATTGAACATGCCACTCCAATCCTTGCAATGGAAATGAGACATTCCTTGCTGATGTTGTTTACGATTTCCTTCAGCCTATGGTTAGTAGCAGTTGTCTCTTCATCAACATTTAGAAGTACTGGATCCACAATGTGCACAAGATTAACAACTTTCTCAAACATAATATTTGTGGGTCTTTTCCTCGTGGTCATCTCCAATAACAGGATTCCAAGATTGTAGACATCCCTATTTTTTGACACCTTATGACTTCTAAAACCATACTCCAATTCACAAGAATAACATTAGAAAATACATGATCTTTTTGACAAGTAATTAATCATTCATATTAAATAGAAAACATTCTAATGTTCATATGGTGACTGACTAATTACAACTGTATATTGCCTAGTAACTCTATTGCTAAACTGGGTGTTTTGGTTTGTATTGTCTTTGCCATTTTTATCGTAATTTTATTTCACTCCATCGAAATGAAATAAGATTTGAAGAAATGCTGAAATTCTTAAATCAAACATCCAAACTCAATAAAAAGTATCCAACAAACTTTCATCAAAGGGATTTAACTTTAAAATGAAAATGAAATAACTATAAGTTGATCAAAAAACACAATTCATCCTTACCAGAATCAGAGTCAGATATGCCACGGAAGATTAAAAAGCATAATTCATCAGAATCAGATAATCAGGCAATAAGTGTAAGATGAAAAAATATCTTCCGACCAAAATATCTAATCTCATCACTTAAACAATAACATAAACTGTTTAAGCCCATAGTCATCACATGCAACAAATCAATTCTACCAATCACCTAGCTGGAATATATTAGGCCCACTGACGTGAGGATCAATGCTCCACTCAAGCATCATTTTTATCTCCAAACTAAAAAAAAAAAATTCTAAATAACATATTTATTATTAAAAAAGTGTTTTTTGAAGCCACGTAGACAAGGGCTTCAAAATTTTATAAATAGCAGTATCTAGCTATTGACAAATTACCAAATCATCACAAACAGCAATAGGCTTTCCTTCTTTCTTTGCTACTTCTGCAACATATAAACTAATGAGTAACACTAGCCTTACAAAGAGGCATACAAAGAGCCATACAAAGAGACAATCCCTACCCTTAAAATTCATGATTGCCTCTTTCTCTCTCTTTTTTTCCCTTCTTTTAAATGTAAGGATTGTCTCTTTGTATGACTTTTTGTATGCCTCTTTGTAAGGTTAGTGTTACTATAAACTAATATTGTCAATGGAAAAGGTCAAAGAAACTTATAAATTCTTAAAATCTAAACTCAAGTACTACTTTCTATATTGCATCACACTTACACTTACAAGTAGACTCACATGGTGTCCAACAAATTATAATCAGGAAAAGCACCTACTCAATTGGTTTCCTCTTCCCCCAAGAACTGAGGCCCTCTGAAATTTGGGGCCACATATCCACCACTTTTTAAAGGCTACCATGGAGTTTTGTGCGGCTATTTACGCTACACAGGCAAAAGCATTTTATCATTATTGCTAATATGGGTAATAGATGTGACATGAAAATGGAAGATATGTGGTTAAATGAGCAAAAATAATCTCATGGTTAGTTTCTTCTTTTGTTAAAACCATCAAGAATTTGGAAGCCACTGCATAAGCCATGGTGTGTGCCTTGGTAAAGTCCTTATACCACATCCGAAATGTAGACAGGAGCATCGATCTTTCCAATTGTTCGATCACCAATCCTATCTATGAAAACAAGAGCCAAGTAAATAAAAACTCAAGAGTGAATTTCATGTTGGGAAGTTGAAAAATGATTAGTGCAACTGCACAGTTCAAAGCAATAGCTAGCAACTAAAACTGCTTATGAATTGCTTAATGTTAATTAATTACAAGTATACCATCCATCCTACACAACTTTATATGTGTTAACTGTGCCCTTCCTGAATTAGATGTAATGAAAAAGCATCATTATGTTTAGAGATAAAGGAACAAAGAAGTATCCACTAACCACATTACTAGGCTAACGCACTTGATACAAGCTACCAACATTTAGGATAATAAAAACATGAACAGGTGATTCTGTTCATTTCTCTTTTCACTGTACTGTTTTCAACATTAACTTTCCAATGAATTCTATCTCTAACATACATATTGATCTTCTGAGACAAGGAAGTGACTACATCCTTTATTCCATCCCAAGCCATGAAAATGCAAGTTTAGAGCTCTATACCTTCAATATGCTTCACAGTTTCAATAAGATACATAAACTAGGAAAAACTAGCGACCAGTTCAAATTTTTTATGCAATAAATAACCAGATCAACTTTGTTCTAAAAAAGCGGTGAAACATAACATGGAAAATTTGTAATAACATCAAATCTTTAGCATATTGCTTTCTTTTCCAAATTGACAAAGTGCCGTATAATGACATTACGAAAACAACACATATGAAGATAGCAATTTACTATGTAAGGGACAAGAAGAATGGGAGAGATGCATTATAAAGAAAGTAATCAAAAGGCAAGAAAAACTGTATGCATGTGAGGAAGCTAGTGAGTAGCAGAAACTCACATTTGTGCTATCTTACAACCAAATTTGTAGAAATATTGACACCTAGATCTCAGATCCACATTTGCAGCATCAGCCTGGATTTCCCGCCTTGTTCTGGTATTCAATTAAAACAAAGAAGACTAGAAAAGTAAACAAATATTCACATCTTCAGATTCTCATTCACATAAATAAATATGTCATTCTTCATGCATTCATTTGAACGTAGGACAACTTTGCAAGAAATTGCGAACATAGTACTTGGTTAAAACCACCTAATTCTAGAGGGGGTTTGGTCACTCGAAAAAGCAAAAGGGGAGGGAGGGATCAAAGAAATACAATAAGAACAACAAACTCTAGAAGACTTTGACAAAATAATTTGACCTAGTTGGACTGGTGAACAAAAGTAACCCACATATTAGAATACAAAATCTGATTGCTTTTTAATGACCAAGGGCCCATTCTACACCATTCACACATAAAGCAAAATCATGTTGAAAATTCTTCTTGCAAGTCAGTTTTTAATGAATTTCTTAGTGTTTTTACTATCTTTAGTTAGAAATAAGAATAACACTAGAAACGAATTACCTTTGGTTGAAACAAGTCGGAACATTTATTGATACAGTTTGCCTTAAATATAACTCCTGAGCAAGCCAAAATGGCTGCTCTACCTTCGCACCTTCTTCAACCTGAGAACAACCACCAAAAACATAATATATTATGATACAGTCATTGAACATTAATTTCCACCAAACTCCAGTAAACTTGCACAGTCTTCAGCGCTGGGATAAACTTTCACTCCATTAGCTGACTTATGGAACACAACAGGGACGAGCTGAAATCTAGCAAAAGAAAAAAAGAAAAATCATTAAGCAATTTCAGAGTTGAATTAAAGACAACTGCGAGTATGAAGACCAAGATAATAATCTCTTCCTATACAAGAATATCATCAATGTCATAATAATTTATGAGACATTAAGCAGTGTCTCTTGATTTTTCCTTCACATTTATGAGATATTTAACAGCTAGGGAACAAAATATAAAAAATTAATTATAATAAATTGTGAATATAAATGAATTTCAGCGTAGAGAATGCAGGGGATCTGAACCGTTTATGTGATTCCATCAAAATGAACGAATCAGACTTCCCAGTTGCAAGAATATAAACACATTGACTAAAACATCCAAACCAAGATTAAAACAAGAAAATATCTAAGCTCTAAGCGAGAATTAGATCCAATTCCAACCTGGAACTCACTATTCCTCAGCAACAAGAAGAAATGTAAACTAAAATAAATTCGAAAAGATCTGAAACCCTAGAGTGAGCAAAATTTATAGCTAGAACAGACTGATATAGAAAATGAAATTCTGAAAAGTAAAAAGTTGATGACGAACTTTTAAGAAATTAAAATTACCTCAAATGTTCTCACAGAGCCTGGTTGTGTTTGTTTGGCTCTCATTCTCTCAATTCTCAAGTGAATGGCGAGGGAAAATTTTAGATAAAATACAAAAAATCTTAATTTAGGGGCTTTTGTATAAATAAAAAAGAATAAGGGGTTTCAAAAATTACTCACCCATAGATATACCTGTAGAAATCAATTCTCTTCGCTTCCGCCTTGTTTCTTTTCTCGTCCTCTCACCTCTCTCATTCTCTCCTCTCAACTCTCGGATGTTTCAATGGAGTTCTAATCTAACAAGCAACTTAAGAATTTTGTGATGTCTCCCGCACAATACGAAGTTTTTGACGTAAACTCTTCATCTTTGCGCAAAGTTATGAAAACTAAGGCCTCCCTTAAACATAATTTCTCCGGCCTTTTCCTCATTATCATCTCCAATAACAGGATTCAAAAACTGTAGACATCCCTGTTTGTTGACATCTCTAGACTTCCGAGACCATACTCCAATTTGCAAGAATAACATTAGAAAATTCATGATCTTTTTGACAAGTAATTGAGTATTCAAATTAGATAGAAAACATTCTAATGTTCAAATGGTGACTGACAGATTGAAACTGTTTATTGCCTACTGACCTTTCTGCTAAACTGGGCCTTTTGGTGGGAATTGTTTATTGTAATTTTTAAGTCACTCCATCCAAATGAAATAAGATACGTAGAAATCTTGAAACTCTTAAATCCAACATTCAAACTCAATAAAAGTGTCCAACAAACTTTCATCAAAGGGATTTAGCTTTAAAATGAAAATAAAATACAAATAGGTTGATAAAATGTGGGTGGCCTGGCAGATAATCACAGAAACTCCATTCACTTTTCACCTCGCTCAAACTGATTGACCTCCTTGCCTGATGAGAACAGTTCTAGGCTGGAGAAGGATGTTCTTGACCTCTTGTAATTCATGAACAACATTGGTTATGTTCATTCGATCTTGTGGTATCTCCATTGAACATGCCACTCCGACCCTTACCACTCAGATGAGACATTCCTTTCTTTTAATGTTTCTTTCTTGTACCAGTATACGATTAGTAGCAGTAACCTCTTCAACCTCATTTAGAAGTACTGGATTGACAATGTCCAACACCCGGTCAGGCAAGGCCATTTTAGCAAAATTGTGAAGATTGAGGCCTCCCTCAAACATAAGGTCTGTGGGCCTTTTCCTTGTTACCATCTCTAACAACAAGATCCCATAACTGTAGACATCCCCATCTGTCGACATCTCACTTCCAAGACCATACTCTGCAATTCACAATAATATTATATTAGGAAGTATATGATCTTTGACAAGTAATTAATTGTTCAAATTATCCAATCTTGTGGTTACCTGGGGCTGCATAGCCTATTGTTCCTTTTACGCCAACAGAGCTGCTTTGATTTGGATTTGAGACTTCTGGGAGAAACCTTGCTATACCGAAATCTCCAACATGAGCTGTCATGTCATCATCTAGAAGAACATTACTGGGCTTTAAATCACAATGGAGGATTGGCTCATGGCAACGATAATGGAGATAATCTATTACAGATGCCACATCAATTGCAATGTTTATTCTCTGAAGAAGGGTAAGATTCTGAATTTCAGGTTGCTCTTCTTCTGTTTCTGGACCTGGGTGTAACCACTTGTCAAGACTTCCATTTGGCATGTACTCATAAACAAGAGCTTTAAAGTCATTGCCCTGAAAATCAATACTTGAGCAAGTAGTGATGACTTTTACGAGATTCCTATGACAGATATTTCTCAACGCTTTACACTCTGCCATGAAACTCTTGGAAGCTCCTCGACGCTGAAGATTTAGTACTTTGATTGAACAATAGTTCCCTCTTCGTCAAGGATACCCTTAAACATAGAGCCAAAACTTCCCACACCAATCAAGTTTGTTGAAGAAAACCCATCGGTCGCTTTGAGTAGCCTATCATACGATACATTCAAAAGTTCTTTTATCAACCTGGATCCAGATTCAGAAGGTTGTTTCACGCTTCTCTTTCTGAGCCAACAAAAAATGAATATTGACATCACGGTTAGTCCTGAAAGGCCACTTGCAATTGAGATCAATATTTTGATTCGCGGAGAGATCCTTTCTTTCTTTGCATTCTTGCTAGTGCATTTGAGCAAATGTAATTCAGCTATTCCTCCACAAAGTCTACCACTATTTCGGACAAGTGATATTAAACTTGCATTTGCAAAAACTCCTTTTGATGGCACTTCACCCTCAAAATTATTGAAGGACAGGTTTAAATTCTCCAAAGGGAGAGTCTCTAAGAATTTTGAAGACCAGACAAATTGTTGAGAGAAAGATCAATGATTCGAATAACTCTTAGAGAACTCAATGATGTAGGTATAAATCCTTGGAAAGCATTGCCATCCATTAAAAGTGATTCTAGAATAGAACAAAGACTAAGTTGACTCGGAATTTCACCTGACAAATTATTATCAGACACATCAAAATTGTATGGATGTTTCAGGTTACCGATGTTTGGAGGTATGTGTCCAATCAATTGGTTTTGGGATAGATCTAGTGAAATTGACAGAGACGTTATTTCAAAAACTTGCTGTGGTATGGTTCCACTAAGGTCATTTTGGGAAAGATCCAACTCTGTTAACTGTTCCTAGACTAGAAGGGATGATTCCTGATAATTTGTTATCTAACAACCATAGCTTAATGATTTTGGACAGGTTCCCAAAAGAAGAAGGAATTTCACTGGAGAGTTTGTTGCTAGACAGATCTAAAAATACAAGGTTCTGGAGCTTACCTAATTCTTCGGGAATTGTGCTGAAAAGTTGTTAAAAGGCATACACAACAAAGTCAAGTTAAGAAGGCCGCCTAGCCCTGATGGGATTGTTCCATACAATTTATTCCCACCAACAAATAAACGTTGCAGTTTAGTACTAGAAAGGTTACCTATTGAATGGGGCAAGGGTCCTCTGAATTGGTTTTCAGCTACGGAGAACGTCCTCAAATTGCTGCAGTTGGCCAAAGAGTCGATAAAACTCATCTCATCACCTTCCCCACTTCCTAAATTATTATTGTTCAAACTTAGCCATTGAAGGTGTTGCATGTCTCCAAAATCAACGGAAAATTTTCCTGAAAATTTATTTCTTTCCAGCTCAATATGTTGGAGTTCTGAAGCATTGGATAAAGATACCGGAATAGATCCACGAAATGAGTTATTTGATATCTGAAAAAATTGGAGACGAGGAAGAGTAAGGCCCAAATTTGGTGGAAGACTTCCCTCAAGTTGATTCTGAGACAGAAAAATTAACAAGGGAGGAGAGATTTTATATAGAAGGAGGGACAACACCAAATAGGTTGTTTCCACCAATTAGAAGACTTGTTAAATTTTTTAGTTGACCCAATGAATTTGGAATATTTCCTTCAAAAGCATTTGAAGCAATAGATATCTTTTCCAGGGAGGTAAGATTCCCAAGAAATGGTGGGACACCTCCTGTCAAACTGTTAACGTGCAGAGCTATGATTTTGAGGTTGAACAAGGAGACAAACTCTGCTGGAATTTCCCAACTAGCTTGTTATATCCTAAATGTAACAATGTAAGCCTGGAACAACAGGACAAGGTGGCTGGAATTTCTCTCACCAAGGAGTTATTTTGAAGTATTAAATCTTCTAATCTGAACAGTGTGATAAAAGCTGCTGTTATGGTATTTCAAAATACCAAATTTTAATTGCTTTGGACTGTTATGTGATTTGGACTGTTATGTGCTAAAATCAATTGAAATTTTAATTGCTTTTGGACTGTTATGTACAATTGATATTGAAGATTGTTTTTTTGTTGGCCTGTTACGTAGTAAAGGCAATTGAATTGTTCCAAGTTATTGCAATTCAAATAGGTAGTTATGGTTTTAAAAGCCATTGATTGACTTTGGTTACAGCAAGGGAAACGGGCAGAATTTCAAGTAAAAAAAGGGGGTGGTTTTCTCATTTGAAAGACACAACTTTTCACTTGAAAATTCTTTGTTTCTCTATGATTTTTAACTTTCCAGCTCTCCTTCATCACTGTTATTTTTCTTATATTGTTCTAAATCTCTTTTAGAGTGTGCACTCTAAAAAAAGATTCGTCATTGTATCCTGGAGATTAATCCGTTGTTGAGCCTTGTTGTATCACGAAGGTTCTTCTAATAGGGGCGGAATTTTGATCTGAAGGAAAATGCTTTTGCAAGCCTTGACGCTGCTGTCTTGCTGCTATTTCGCTGCTGTGTTCGTTGCTGTTTCACTGCTGTATTGTTGCTGTATTGCTGCTGTCTCTCTGCTGTTCTTGCTGCTGTTTTTCCTGCCTTTTCACTGCTGTTCTTTTGCTGTATCACTGCTGTATCTCTGCTGTTTTTCCTGTAGTTCTCTTGCAATTTTCCTGCTGTTTCACTATTGTTCTTCTGCTGTTTCGTTACTGTTCTTTCACTGGTTTGCTGCTGCTGTTTTGCTGCCAATTTCTTGTATTAAAATCCAACATCACGTTCACCATTTCTTTACATGAAAATCATGGTTCTGGATACCTTTTCTACCTTAACTAACTAACATGGTAAGAGACTTGACTCCGCTTTAACTTGAGGAAAGAAAAAAATATGCCTTGACTAATTTCTTGTGTGTGGCACACCAAGTGCAGGAGGCCCACACATCTCTTTTAAAAAATAAATGAATAATGGTTAACAAAAATTCAACTGATTTTGATTTTTTTACGGTATATTAAGAGTAAAATCATATTTCATGGGACTGTTGTAAGAAAAAATTTAAAAAAATAATTATGTAACAATAGTCAAATTTCTTCACCATTATATAATGTGCGCAAACATATAACATTATCACATATAGCAATTTCATAGTTGAATTGAAGACTATTGATGGTATGAAGACATGGGATCTGAACCATACATGTATTTCCATCAAAATAAACGAATCAGATTTTGCAATTGCAAAATATAAACACATTGAGTGAAACATCCAACCCAATATCTAAGCTCTAAGCGAGAATTAGATCCAATTCCAACCTAGAACTCATTATTCCGAAGCAACAACAAGAAATGTAAACTAAAATAAATTCTAAAAGATATGAAACCCTAGAGTGAGCAAAATTTATAGCTAGAACAGATAGATACAGAAAATGAAATTCAGAAAATTAAAAAGTTGACGACGAACTTTTAAGAAATTAAAATTACCTCAAATGTTCTCACAGAGCTTGCTTGTGTTGTTTGGCTCTCAAGTCTCAAGTGAATGGGGAGGGGAAATATCAGCTAAAATAGGAGGGAAACTTAAAAATGTAAAGATCAGAGACTAATTAAAAATGTAAAAAATCTTAATGGGGGGCCCTGTATAAATAAAAAAGAACAAGGGGTATATATATATATATATATATATATATACACCAGTAGAAATCAATTATCTTCTTTTTTTCTCGTCCTCTCACCTCTCTATAATTCTCTCATCTCAAGTCTCAGATGTTTCAATGGAGTTCTAATCTAACAACAAACTTAAGAATTTTCTGACGTCTATCACACAATACAAAGTTTTTGACTTAAATTCTCCATATTTTCAAAATTTTATTCAATATATTTGAATTTCTTTGAAATTGTATAAAATTGTGAATGTAAATTAGGGATGGTGTGAGCTTTAATTTGGAATTTCTTTTAGTTTATATGATGATTTTAATTTCATAGCCCCGCGATTAATAAAAAGGAATAGGCTAAAAGTATTTGAAAGAAAATATCAAAAACTGTATTGTTGGATGATGGCAGATTCAAAGGGTGTAATCTCTAGGGTGAGTTACGGGTTGAAGAAGGGGGTTTTGAGGGATTTGTGTTGCTGTGTGTGTAATCTATAATCTTGACAGTATTAGTGCAGCGAGCTCGTGTGATTCTCAAGTTCAACGTGGACGTAGTTTGCTCAAATATAGAGCAAGTGAACCACGGTAAATCTGGTTGTTCTTGTGTGTGTTTGGTGTGATTCTTGTTCTTGATCTGTTGCTATTTTGGTTGATTCTTTTTGTGAGTAGTTATAACATGTATGACACATTTTAGATCACCAATCAAGAAGAGAGGTAGTTTAAATCTTAGAAGCTACAATTCATGATCAACACTGCTTATATTGAACTTCTTAAATCAAACATTCAAACTCAATAAAAGTATCCGTCAAAGGGATTTAACTTTAAAATGAAAATAAAATACAAATAGGTTGATAAAATGCTGGTGGCCTAGCAGATCATCTCAGAAACTCCGTTATCTTTTCACCTTGCTCAAATTGCTTGATGAAGATATTAATATCTTAGCCTTGTGATTAAAAACGGCAACAACATAGAAAAAAAAATTAGAAAAATAGTTGAAAAGTTACAAGAAATTTTATCTCCTAAACAAAAGAGAGTTTAAATCTTACCTCCTTGCCTAATGAGAACAGTTCTAAGCTGGAGAAGGATGTTCTTGACCTCTTGTAATTCATGAATAACATCGGTTATGTTCATTCGATCTTGTGGTATCTCCATTGAACATGCCACTCCAACCCTTACCATTGAAATGAGGCATTCCATTCTTTTAATGTTTCTTTCTTGTACTAGTATACGATTAGCAGTAGCAACCTCTTCAACCTCATTTAGAAGTACTGGATCGACAATGTCCATCACCCGGTCAGGCAAGGCCATTCTAGCAAAATTGTGAAGATTGAGGCCTCCCTCAAACATAAGGTCTGTGGGCCTTTTCCTTGTTACCATCTCTAACAACAAGATCCCATAACTATAGACATCCCCATTTGTCGACACCTCACTTCCAAGACCATACTCTGCAATTCACAATAATATTATATTAGGAAGTATATGATCTTTGACAAGTATTTAACTTTTCAAATTATCCAATCTTGTGGTTACCTGGGGCTGCATAGCCTATTGTTCCTCTTACGCCAACAGAGCTGCTTTGATTTGGATTTGAGACTTCTGGGAGAAACCTTGCTAGACCGAAATCTCCAACATGAGTTGTCATGTCATCATCTAGAAGAATATTGTTGGGCTTTAAATCGCAATGGAGGATTGGCTCATGGCAACGATAATGGAGATAATCTGTTGCAGATGCCACATCAATTGCAATGTTTATTCTCTGAAGAAGGGTAAGATTCTGAATTTCAGGTTGCTCTTCTTCTGTTTCTAGAGTTGGGTGCAGCCACTTGTCAAGACTCCCATTTGGCATGTACTCATAAACGATAGCTTTAAAGTCATTGCCTTGAAAATCAATACTTGAGCAACAAGTTATGACTTTTACAAGATTCCTGTGACGGATATTTCTCAACGCTTTACACTCTGCCATGAAACTCTTGGAAGCTCCTCGACGCAGAAGATTTAGTACTTTGATTGCAACAATAGTTCCTTCTTCGTCAAGGATACCCTTAAACACAGAGCCGAAACTTCCCGCACCAATCAAGTTTGTTGAAGAAAACCCATCGGTTGCTTTGAGTAGCCTTTCATAGGATACATTCAGAAGTTCTTTTATCAACCTAGATCCAGATTCAGAAGGTTGTTTCATGCTTCTCTTTCTGAGCCAACAAAAAATGAATAATGACATCATGGTTAGTCCTGAAAGGACACTTGCAATTGATATCAATATTTTGGTTCGTGGAGAGATCCTCTCTTTCTTTGCATTCTCGCTAGTGCATTTGAGCAAATGTAGTTCAGCTATTCCTCCACAAAGTCTACCACTATTTCCGATAAGTGATATTGCACTTGCATTTGCAAAAACACCTTTCAATGGCACTTCACCCTCAAAATTATTGAAGGATAGGTTTAGATTCTCCAAAGGGAGACTCTCTAAGAATTTTGGAATTTGGCCAGAAAAATTGTTGCGAGAAAGATCAATGATTCGAATACCTCCCAGAGAACTCAATGATGCAGGTATAAATCCTTGGAAAGCATTGCCATCCATTGCAAGATATTCTAGACTAGAACAAAGACTAAGTTGACTTGGAATTTCACCAGATAAATTATTATCAGACACATCAAAAGCTGATATAACTTTCAGGTTACCAATGTTTGGAGGTATAGTTCCAATCAATTGGTTTCGGGCTAAATTCAGTGAAATTGACAGATATGTTATTTCAAAAATTTGCTTGGGTATGGTTCCACTAAGTTCATTTTGGGAAAGATCCAAATATGGTAATTGTTTCATTTTTCCTAAACTGTAAGGGATGACTCCAGATAATTTGTTATTGTTCAACAAAAGGTAGTTGAGTTTCGACAAGTTTCCTAGAGACAAAGGAATTTCTCCTGAAAGTTTGTTGTATTCCATAGCTAAAAGTCCAAGGTTGTCAAGCTTACCTAGTTCTTCGGGAATTGTGCCTGAAAATTGGTTAGAGGAACTCTCGAAAAAAATTAAGCTAACCAAGTTGCCTATCCCCGAAGGAATGTTTCCATACAAATTATTAGCAGAAATGTCAAAATATTGGAGTGTACTACTAGAGAGATTAGCGATGGAATGAGGCAAGGGTCCCCTGAATTGGTTTACACCTATGTTGATACTACTCAAATTGCTACAGTTGACCAACGAATTTAAAAAACTCATCTCATTACCTTCCCCACTTCCTAACTTATTAATGCCCACAGTTAGCCTTTCAAGATGTTGTAGGCCTCCAAAGTCAACTGACAGTTTTCCAGAAAATCATTGTTGTTCAATTGAATACGTTCCAGTTTTGAAGCATTGGATAAAGATACTGGAATAGATCCACTAAATAAATTATTGGACATTTGAAAAAATTTGAGATGAGGAAGAGCAAGACCTAAATTTGGTGGAAGACTTCCATGGAGTTGATTGAGACTCAAAGAAAAATTAACAAGAAAGGAAAGATTATATATAGAAGGAGGAACCGTACCAGATAGGTTGTTTAGACCAAGTCCAAGACTTGTTAAATTTTTCAGTCGACCCAATGAATCTGGAATGTTTCCTCCAAAAGCGTTGCCAGCTAAATCTAATATTTCGAGGGAGGTAAGATTCCCAATAAAATGTGGGATGCCTCCTGTCAAACTGTTTAAGTGTACAGATAATATTTTGATGTTCATCAAGGAGACAAACTCTGATGGAAATTTCCCTACAAGATTGTTTTTTCCTAGATATAAGAATGTAAGCCTTGAGCAATGGGACAAGTTGGCTGGAATTTCTCCCACCAAGGAGTTATTGTGCAGCTGTAAATCTTTTAACCTGAACAAACGACCAACTTCGGGAGGGATTTCACCTTGGAGACTATTGTTTGAGACATCGAACTTTTGTAGGAAGCTGAGGTTGCCAATGGATGGTGACAACAACCCAGACAAACCTCTTGAACGTAGTTCTAAGAAGGTGACTCTTCTATGCCTGCGACCGCAAGTAATCCCCTCCCAATCGCAGAAGTGTCGAGAATCATTCCAGGAGTTAAGGACACCTTGAGGATCAAGAATAATCTTTGACTTGAAGGCCTGCAAGGCAACACGATCTGTCTCGCTTTCAGCCAATTCAGAATTGACAAAATTTGTAAACTGTATCACCATGATGCAAAAAAGAAGAATAGATTGAAGGGTAAGTGAGTGACTCATCATTGAATTCATTTCTGAAGGTGAGCTGTGATCTAACCTTACTTGGCATTGTCAGTATATATAGGTTGAGTTTGTGAAACACTAACGCCTATTCAGTGGCATTAATTATAGCAAATCTGGACTTAAAACAGAGAATTGAGTAGTGTCACGTAACTTTAAGATTTTCTTTATCGTGTATATAATGGTAAAGAAATTTGACTAGTGTTACATAATTATATTTTTTTTATAATATTTTAAATTCTTTCCTACACCAATCTCATGAAATATGATTTTTTCTCTTAATATACCGTAAAAAGATCAAAATCAGTTGAATTTTTGTTAACTGTATTTATTTATTTATTTATATTTTTTATAAGAGATGTGTAAAGTTTTCTTCTTCTTTTCGATCTGAGGCTAGCTTATTAAATTTATGGCTCAAATCAAAAGGCAATCTTGCTCCTTTGAATCCTCTTGTAGGTGTATCATTTTTATTAATTTCATCAACTAGAAGGCTAACAGTTCTCTGCTTCATGTTATGGCTTCTTTTCACCATTTTTTTTTTTTTTCAGTCTAAATAGACGTTCTACAAATGCTTCTATCTGCTTATGATTTGAAAAGAAAACAAATATTCTTCTCCTCTTGCTGAGAAAATATTTATCCTTCAATTCAATTTTCAAAATTCCAAGGGCCTCCTGCACTTGATGTGATACACACAAGAATTAGTCAATGCATATTTTTGTCTTTTCTCAATTTAAAGTGGAGTCAAGTCTCTTACCATGTTAGTTAAGGTAGAAAAGACATCCAGGATAGTGATTCATGTAAAGGAAACGGTGAACGTGATCCACAATTATTCTCTTTTTCATTTATTTTCAAAAGGGGTAAATCCTCGTGTTATGTGACTGCATGACTCAAGTGTTTAGTAATTTACAGTGTGACCAAGTTAAAGTGGATCAAGTCTCTTACCGTGTTAGTTAAGGTAGAAAAGGTATCCAGGACCGTGATTTTCATGTAAACGGTGAACGTGATCCACAATTATTTTCTTTTTCATTTATTTTCAAAAGGTGTATATCCTCATGTTATATGGCTGCATGACTCAAGTGTTGTTTAATAATTTACGGTGTGACCAAAGCTCATTGGTAACTCAGAATATATTTCTTTTTTGAGCAAACCTTTGAAACCCAAGTGTATATTGTGAGAGGCACTGGGTTGTTAAATAAAGTTTTGTTTATTGTAATTTTAAAGTAACACCTATGAAGTAAGATAAGATATAATGAAAAACCCAGGTACTATTTCATCATGATCTTTTCCTCAAAACCCTGTGGTTAGCAAAAAGGATTAAGAGGGTAAAATTAATTTAAAGAATATTACAAAAACTACCGGACATTTTATCTAACTATCAACAGGAGCGGTGGTTTAAAACTTTTGAATTTTACCTCCTTGCCTGTTGCGCAGAGTTCTAGGTTCCAGAAGGATGTTCCTGGCTGATAGCAATTCATGGGCAACATCTGTTATGTTCATTCGATCTTGTGGTGACTCCATCAAACATGCCACTCCAATCCTTATCACAGAATTGAGTCATTCCTTTCTGCTGTTGATTCTTGTTTCTCTCTTGCTATGGTTTGTAGCAGACACCTCTTCATCATCATTTAGAAAAAATAAAAAAAAAGGTCCACAATGTCCATCACACGGTCAAACAAGGCCATTCTAGCAAAGTTATTAAGATTAAGTCCTCCCTCAAACATGTATGTAGGTTTTTTTCCTATTACCATCTCTAACAATAGGATCTCATTGATAAAGTAGGCTTGGGTAGAACTCAAGCTTGAAAGTTAGCTCAAGAGAGGAGGGAGCCCAACCACATAAATTTGGCGATGTGGGACAAATTTAACTTTAATATCCTCTCTCACGCTTGGCGTGCAAGGTTGGGTCCAAACCCATCATTGCCTCAAACAAACGTCAATACCCTCTCTCACGCTTGACGTGCAAGGTCAGACCCAAACCCATCATCGCCTCAAACAAATGTGGCTCCAAAAGCTAGCTCAAGAGAAGCAGGAGCCCAACCACATAAACTTGGCGATATGGGTCAATTCAACTTCAATACCCTCCCTCACACTCGATGTGCAAGGCTGGGTCCAAACCCATCATCGCCCCAAACAAACATCAATACCCTCCCTCAAACTCGGCATGCAAAGCCGGGCCCAAAATCCATCATCGCCTCAAACAAACTTAACAAACGTCAATAGCCTCCCTTTTGCTCAGTGTGCAAGGACGGGCCTAAACCCATCATCGCCTCAAACAAACGTGACTTTGATACTATGATAAAGTGGGCTTAGGTAGAACTCACTCTAAAAAACTAGCTCAAGAGAGGAGGGAGTCCAACCACTTATATACATAGACTTTTATCATTCAGTTTGGTGTTGACTTCAATAAACGAGGAAACCATTGGGTGTTGACTTCAATAACCAAATTAATTAGTAAAACCATTGTCACAATTTCCCAAGACTTCAAACTCTCTTCCACAATGAATCATAGAAAGTTGAAACAGCCATCTTTAACAACAGGATCCCATAACTGTAGACATCCCCATATGTTGATACCTCATTTCCAAGACCATACTCTGAAACCCAACACGAATAACATTAGAAAGTATATAATCTTTTGAAAAGTAAATTAACTGTTAAAATTTTGTAGATGGCATGAGTTAATATTAATGTAGCAAAAGATCAAAAGTCTTGTGGTTCCCTGCAACTGCATAACACGAGTTTAGGACACTTTGAGGATTATGAATAATCTTTGTCTTACATCTGATGTAGGACAGAATTCTAATCTTTGTCCTACATTATTTTTTATTATTAGATTTTCTAATTTTAATTATGATTTTACATTGGGGAGGTTTAATTATTTTAGGATTTTGGTTAAATTAGGAAGGTTTATTTCAGTTTATTTTAGTTTCTTTTTTAATAATTCCTTGTTCTATTTATGTCTTGTTCTAGTAACACTAGGATTAATTTAGCATAAATAGACTTGCTATCCTACAAACAATAACAATGGCTTATAAATAAAATTTCTTAATGGTTGTTTGGTGAATTGTTTTATAAAATAATTATAGAATCCTCCATGGGATTGGTCTTCCATTTTTTGTTAATTTCATCAACTTAATTGAAAGCGAACAGTTACTCTGTTTCATGTCATGGCTGTTTGTTTTCACACGTTTCGCTTGCTTTAGTCTAAGTGGACGTTCTGCAAAAGCTTCAAAAAAGTTAAGCTTTGTTCAGAAAATGTTTGTGCCCCAATTCATTTTTCAAAATACTCAAAGTCCTCTGTGCTGCACAGAAGAAATTGGTCCATTCCGTAGTTTTTTTGTCAAATTTAAGTGGAGACTCTAGCCTCATTCCTCTTGATTTTCTGGTAAAGAACTGATGAGCATGAGTATATAACATTAAATTTCTACAAATAATCATAGAATAGTGCAGAAGTCAATATCATGAATAATCTTTGACTTGAAGGCCTGCATCGTAGCAAGATCTGTCTCGTTTTGAGCCAATTCTCTAGTGATCAAACTGGAAGAACTGGCAATAGCTGTAACTTGCATCATAGTGATGCAAAAAAAGAAAAGCGAACTGAAAGCAAAGAGAGTGGAGTAGCCAATTCCTTAGCTTCTTTTCCGTGTACTTTACGTGAAGCGAGTATTGCAAGTGTTTGTGAAACTCAGGGTTCAATTAGTAGTATTAACGCTAGTCTGGACTCCAAAAGGACTTCGACTCACTGTACATAGACTTTATCGTTTAGTTTGGTTTCTCGTTTTCTGATACTCCTGGTCAAGAAATTTCATGGAATGGTGACATAATTACACATAATTTCTTTTTTTTTTTTTTTTTTTTTTTAAATTTTACTTGAGCCACTAGGAATGAACATATAAAGCAAATGTGAATGCAAACTACTCGAAAGACCCACAACTTTGAAAATTCCAATTTCCTAAAGTCTCTTATTCTGAATGGGCCAGTTTAAATCTACCTCTTGCCTAATGAGAACAGTTCTAAGCTGGGAAGGATGTTCTTGACCTCTTGTATTCAGAATAACATCGGTTAGTTATCCGATCTGTGGTATCTCAATTGAACATGCAACCCAACCCTTACCATTGAGATGAGGCATTCCTCTCTTTTAATGTTCCTTTCTTGTACCAGTATACGATTAGTAGCGTAACCTCTTCAACCTCATTTAGAAGTACTGGATCGACGATGTCCATCACCCAGTCAGGCAAGGCCATTTTAGCAAAATTGTGAAGATTGAGGCCTCCCTCAAACATAAGGTCTGTGGGCCTTTTCCTTGTTACCATCTCTAACAACAAGATCCCATAACTATAGACATCCCCATTTGTCGACACCTCACTTCCAAGACCATACTCTGCAATTCACAATAATATTATATTAGGAAGTATATGATCTTTGACAAGTAATTAACTGTTCAAATTATCCAATCTTGCGGTTACCTGGGGCTGCATAGCCTATTGTTCCTCTTATGCCAACAAACCTGCTTTGGTTTGGATTTGAGACTTCTGGGAGAAACTTTGCTAGACCGAAATCCCCAACATGAGCTGTCATGTCGTCATCTAGAAGAACATTACTAGGCTTCAAATCGCAATGGAGGATTGGCTCATGGCAACGATAATGGAGGTACTCTATTGCAGATGCCACATCAATTGCAATGTTTATTCTCTGAAGAAGGGTAAGATTCTGAATTTCAGGTTGCTCTTCTTCTGTTTCTGAACTTGGGTGTAACCACTTGTCAAGACTTCCATTTGGCATGTACTCGTAAACAATAGCTTTAAAGTCATTGCCCTGAAAATCAATACTTGAGCAACAAGTTATGACTTTTACAAGATTCCTATGATGGATGTTTCTCAATGCTTTACACTCTGCCATGAAACTCTTGGAAGCTCCTCGACGTTGAAGATTTAGTACTTTGATTGCAACAATAGTTCCATCTTCATCAAGGATACCCTTAAACACAGAGCCAAAGCTTCCCACACCAATCAAGTTTGTTGAAGAAAACCCATCGGTCGCTTTGAGTAGCCTTTCATAGGCGATTTTGGGCTTTTCCATGTATAACTGCTGTAGGATTTCTTTTAAGTTATTAATTCCTTTTTGGGTTGGGGTTAGGAATAAGAATCCTTGTAAAACTAGGTTTAATCTCTTAAACCTAGTATATAAACATATTTTTCTCTTGTTATGAGTGAGAGAGCAATTCATTCATTGTAAACGAGAGAGGTGAGGCATATTGCAATAATATTGACTGAGCTGGACGTAGTATACATTGGGTGAACCAGGGTAAATCGCGCGTATTATTTTCTTTGTTTACTGTTTGTTTTGTTTTACTATTATTATTTTGTTCCTGCTGTTGTCTCTATTTCATCCAATTAGTGGGCCTATTGATTTGATTTTGAAACCCCTGGTGATTTGTCTTCCATTTTTTTGTTAATTTCATCAACTTAATTGAAAGCGAACAGCTTCTCTGTTTTCATGTCATGGCTGTTTGTATTCCACACATTTCGCTTGCTTTAGTCTAAATGGACGTTCTGCAAAAGCTTTAAACAAGTTAAGCTTTGTTCAGAAAATGTTTATGCCTCAATTCATTTTTCAAAATACTCAAGTCCTCTGTGCTGCACAGAACGAATTGGTCAATTCCGTAGTTTTTTTGTCAAATTTAAGTGGAGTCTAGCCTCATTCCTCTTGATTTTCTAGTAAAGAACTGATGAGCATGAGTATACAACATTAAATTTCTACAAATAATCATAGAATGGTGCAGAAGTCAATATCATGAATAGCCTTTGACTTGAAGGCCTGCATCGCAGCAAGATCTATCTCGTTTAGAGCCAATTCTCTAGTGATCAAACTGGAAGAACTGGCAATAGCTGTAACTTGCATCATAGTGATGCAAAAAAAGAAAAGCGAACTGAAAGCAAAGAGAATGGAGTAGCCAATTCCTTCAGCTTTCTTTTCCTTGTACTTTACGTAAAGCGAGTATTGTAAGTGTTTGTGAAACTCAGGGTTCAATTTAGTGGTAGTTGACGCTAGTCTGGACTCCAAAAGGACTTTGACTTACTGTACATAGACTTTTATCATTCAGTTTGGTTTATCGTGGTCAAGAAATTTCATAGAATGGTGATCATAATTGCACTTTGCACATAATTTCCTTTTTTTTTTTTTTTTTTATTACTTGAAGTCCACCAGGAATGAACAAATTTCCGCAAGGATTCATAGAAAGTTGCAAAGGTCAATATCAAACAGTTTAAAAAAAGATATAATTACTTATATCACCCGACATCTATCAAGTGACAAAAGAGAAAAGCGGATTTATTAAAGATATCGTAATGGTATCTAATGCTGACGAAAATATAACCTAATATCTACAAATGGGCTTTAGCCATTTAAAATATAGTCGATTTATTTTCTAGTCTTTAAAATTATTGGAAAATTTTAGACCAATAATTCATTTTAAATGTTATCAAGATCAAGAGCTAACAAAGTCTAACACTAAACTCATGGATCAATGAATTATAGCCATATCACTATTAAATTTGGTTATTTGTGGGAGTTTTTATCATTTATATGAAGAGTGAATTATTAATATGATCACTTGTATCAATATCCTGGTCATAATTTAAGGAAAAGTATGAATATGTTAATTATAAATTTACTTTCTAAATTGAATCAAATGATAGAGAGTATTAAATTATTTGAATTTAACTATTAACTACTATTAATTGAATAATTAAATACATAAAGGTTGAAAGAAATAACTGAAAAATTTTACGATTTTCAAATCTTTACTGGACTTCTGTCAATTCTACCCTATTAGTAACGCAAACATCGATCAACTAATTCTTCCTTAAGTCACGCATACGATGTCATTCCCATTTAATTACAAGGCAGACCCTTTACTTTGAAAATTCCAATTTCCATACTCTTATTCTGAAATGGGCCACTTTTCTCCTCCCGTGGGCCTGCATTAATTAAGTCAATTTCTTTGAACACAAGTATATTTGTTTGTTTTCAATATTAGCAAATTTTCCTTCTTTACTATTTATTTCTACGAAATCTTTGTTAACCTCATCATCAGCCTTTTTTTTTTTTTTTTTTTTTTTTTTGCCTTGGTTAAATTTAAGTATCCCTTTTTTTTCTTTTGGGTAAAACTTGAACTATACATCCATTTAGTTATTTTTTTTCTTCCCTTTTTTGTTTTGGGTGTTCTCCTACGTTTTAAAAATTAATAGAGTCTAGCAATTGTTTAACTTGCAAGTTTAAACAAGAGTTAAATTGAATCTCTTGAAGCAACTCTAAAACATGAACGGGTAATGGAATATCCATAACTTGTTTGATTTCATCTTCCATTTAAGGTTTGAGAAAGAAAGAGATTTTTAATATATAGGTGTATTAAAAGAATAAATGCCCTTAATTGTTATTGGGGCTTAGAAAGAAAATTGGCAAGGCTTAAATAACACCACTCATGTAACACTTAAACCTTTTCCAAAGCAAAAAGTTAAAAAATACGGTAAGCATATATAGAAGCACAATGCTATAAAATATCCACTTTAATGGAGAAACATATTACATATAACAAGGATCAATTGTTGTATTCTCAGCTTTTAGTTCAATCAAAGTGCAGTTTTGATGAAAATATTAATTTCATAGCCGTGCGATTGGTAAAAGGAATAGCTAAAAATAATATAAATGAAAGAGCAAAAACTCCATAGAAATGAGACATTCCTTTCCGATGTTGTTTATTGTTTCCTTCAGCATATGGTTAGTAGCCGTCGTCTCCTCATCAACATTTGGAAGTACCAATGTGCATCTCCCAGTTAGGCAAGGCTACTTTAGCAAAGCTAGAAAGATTAACACCTCCCTCAAACATAACATTTGTGGGCCTTTTCCTCATTATCATCTCCAATAATAGGATTCCGAAACTGTAGACATCTTATTTGTTGACACCTCATTACTTCTGAGACCATACTCCAATTCACAAGAATAACATTAGAAAATGCATGATCTTTCTAACATTCCTTTATACTGTTACTTCTTGTTTCCCTCAGCCTAATAGTAGTAGCGACTTCTTCGTTATCAATTATAAATATTGAATCCATAATGTTTTATCATTCGATCAGACAGATTACATCTTATATCGCTAATAAAAGAGTCTACACTCAATTTATAAGACCTAGGTCTTCATAACTACAAAAATTTCTCTGAATTTTTAAAAACAATCTACTATTATTAAAAGTTAGTCAGTTATTTAACACCTAGAGTTCATAAATATTTATTTACTTAATTAACATCCTACAGTCATTAAACCTTTCTCTATCTATTATTTTGATAATTATGTAGAGGTTAGATCGACCTCCTAAGGTTTAGTTAAATACAAGAATCTTCCTAAGTTTTAAAAATTAACAAAACTCCTACTTCTATTAACAAGCCGATACTGAATTGTTAGAACTTATTTATTATAAGTTCATAAATATTTACTAAAATTATATTCATAAAGTTTTGTTGTTAGTGCAAGTAAGAAATTTTTTTTATTCAATTAAACTTGAGGGCTTATGTAATTAACCCATTTTAGTCTGTGTCCACTCAAATGATTCAAACTAGTACAAAGAAGACTTTTCTATTTTTGTGGGCTGCATTTGAGAGAATCTTCTACTACAAGGAAATTTCTCCTTATCTTTAGGAAACCTTGAATGAATTCAGTCACATCTTTAAATTTCCCGGGTCTGCCACATATCGAAGATGGACTGTAGATTAAACAAAAACAAAACCCAAAAGCAACCGTGTCGTTTTGACTCAGTCGGAAAGAGATAAAGGAGGTCAAGAAAAGGGTACCCGACTTGAGGGTTTGATGAAAAGAAAGTGATATAGTTTTGGTCAAGCCGCCACACTAGAGCGTATCTAGTGCCTATCCTATTTTGTTGCGTCACAAAGAGAATGACATTTCATTATAATCAGTTTTGAAAATGAGTAGCCAATTCCTTTAGCTTGCTTTTCCGTGTAGTTTACGGGAAGCGAGTATTGCAAATGTTTGTGAAACTCAGGGTTCAGTTTAGTGGTATTAACCGTTAGTCTGGACTCCAAAGGATTTTGACTCTCTGTACATAGACGTTTATCGTGAAGAACTGAATATTTGAAATAATACCGCTCTTTTCTGAGTCTCCAGGTCAAGAAATTTCATAGAATGGTGATCATAATTGCACATAATTCTTCTTCTTTTGACTTGAAGTCCACTAGGAATGAGAAAAATTAAGATGAGAATGAGTGGAGCTTTTCTACAAGAGGTATAAATAAATTTCCGCAATGAATCATAGAAAGTTGCAAAAGTCAATATCTTCCACTGAAAATATAGAAAGTTGCAAAAACTTCTTTACGGGAAATTTCTGAGTATTGTGATTCATTATGATGCTTGGAGAAGTTGAACTCTCCCTAGTGAATGTATTACTCACCCTGGCAAGATGTAAACAAAAAGAAAACAGAAAAAAAAATATGCAAAAACTTTTTACAGGAAACTTCAAATGAAAAAATACAAATTAAGCACATATTTCAAACGAAAAATAAATTGAG